CATGTAAGGAAGGCGAGCAGTGCACGAGTAACGTCATCAGCTACCAAGCTGGGATCAGCTCGGGTGCGAAGGCAAGCAGTGGCAGCAGGAGCTGGCAATGCGAGAAGGGCATGCAGTGGCAGCAGGATCTGGCATTGCGAGAAAATGTCAAGTGCAGGAGCGGACATCTTCAGTTACAGCGCTGGGATCAGCTCGTGTGCGGAAGGGCTGGGAGTCAGTGGAAGCACCTTGCGAGAAGCGGGGGGCGAAGCTGGAGCCCAATATTGTCGGGCACTCTGTGGCAAGCCTCTTGCGAGAAGCGGGGGGCGAAGCTGGAGCCCACTAGTGTCGAGAGCTCAGGGCCAACCTCTTGCGAGAAGTGGGGGGCGAAGTTAGAGCCCAGTATCGGCGGGAGCTCTGTGAGAAGCCTCTTGCGGGAAGCGGGGGGTGAAGCTGGGGCCAAATTTAGTCGAGAGCTCTGGGCAAGTTTCGTGCGAGAAGTGGGGGGCGTAGCTGGAGCCCAATATCTTAGCTACTACGCTGGCATCAACTCGTGCGAGAAGGGGAAGACAGGCAGTGGCAGCAAGGACTGTCAGGCGTGTCGGCCGTGTTCTAGGCCAAGCTTTTCTGACGGTCAGTGTAAGTGGACGGTATTGTGAAGGAGGTATCCACCATCCCGAACGAGAACGGCCAAGGGTAGACTGATTCGTTATGGGAGTGCGGCCATTCACCAGGAACGCCTATGTAAGTACGGCTTGCAAGGCGTGAGGCGGCTTGCGTGGTGCTCTCCACCTGCGTAAGTCCTAAGTAGCACAATCCTAGCACAATCCTCCTCTCCTCCTCCTCCCTCCTCCTCCTCCTCCTCCTCCTCCTCCTCCTCCTCCTCCTCCTCCTCCTCCTCCTCCTCCCTCCTCCCTCCTCCTCCTCCTCCTCTCCTCCTCCTCCTCCTCCTCCTCCTCCTCCTCCTCCTCCCCTCCTCTCCTCCTCCTCCTCCTCCTCCTCCTCCTCTCCTCCTCCTCCTCCTCCTCCTCAGCATCAGCATCATCATCATCATCATCATCATCATCATCATCATCATCATCATCATCAGCATCAGCATCAGCATCAGCATCAGCATCAGCATCATCATCATCAGCATCAGCAGCATCAGCAGCATCATCATCATCATCATCATCATCATCATCATCATCATCAGCATCAGCATCAGCATCAGCATCAGCATCAGCCACAGCACCAGCATCATCATCAGCATCAGCAGCATCAGCAGCATCATCATCATCATCATCATCATCATCATCATCATCAGCATCATCATCATCATCGTCAGCATCATCATCATCAGCATCATCATGATCATCCTCATCATCATCAGCATCATCATCATCACCATCATCAGCATAATCATCGTCTTCATCTTCATAGTCATCATCATCATCAGCATCATCATCAACATTATCATCATCATCACCATCATCATCATCATCCTCATCATCATCAGCATCATCATCATCAGATGCATCAGATGCATCAGCATCATCAGCATCATCATCATCATCATCATCATCATCATCATCATCATCATCATCATCATCATCATCTTCATCAGCATCATCGTCACCATCCCTGCCTGGCACACATCCTTGGCGTCGCCCTTACCGACCAGCAACCTGACGAGGCGATCATCAGGAGGAGAGGGCCAGCTGGCCGAGGCAACGGAAGCTCTCCCACTGGGCCCTGTCCGGGCCGCCTCAGTGCGCTCAAAAACTGCCCCCAAGCTCCTTCCAAGGTCCATCCTGACCCGTCGTTTCCCTGGTGGCACTTCGCTGACTGGACAGTTCTAATCGTTGGGACGGGGAGCCCTAGACCGCCCAGTCCGGCAGCCATGTCGCTTGAGACTTCCTCACCTCTGCACTCAGGAATCGCGCTCTCGCCAATGCCGGCTACATGTCGCATTCCTTGTAAAGAATACACAATACGGTTGTGGATGCCACGACAATCGGCACCCTAACAGTCCTAATTGTCATCGAGTTAAACATGTGCTTAAAATTTAGGATACTGCCCTGGAAACGTTTAAACATGTTTTACATGTTAAAAAGTTTAACACATGTTCTAGACATCTGCAAATTATGTGGCAACATGCTCCCTCTCCATTGATCGCCCTCCACAACACTACGGTGCACACGACCGCGCGCTTCCTGCAATCAGTGGACTAACTCGCTGGTGGATTTTCCTCGGGCGGCCGCATCGCTCGCGTTCGGTAGATGCGCACGGCTGCAACACACGCCGTGTGCGGCTGGAAACGCTCGCGCTGGGTAAAAAGCTCATGGCCGGAGCCCACGCCGTGCGCGGCTAGAACGCTCGAGCTCATCATGCACGGCTGGAGCCCGCGCCGTGCCCACGCCGCGCGCGGCTGGAACGCTCGCGCTGGGCAAACACGCACGGCTGGAACCCACGCCGTGGGCCGCTGGAACGCTCTCGCCGAGCTAGGACCCACACCGTGGGCGGCTAGAACACTCGCGCTAGGTGAAAATGCACGGCTGGAGCGGACACCGTGGGCGGCTGGAGCACGCCCCCTCGTGAAAATTGAAGGTGCTGGAACCACCCCTTCTTGTGGGCAGAGGCGGCTGGAACAGTTTCCCTCGTACACGTTGAGAGCTGAAACCTCACCAGGCTTAGGGCTTTAGGATGTATATAAGTCGGGGGGGGGGACAGGCCAGGGACCAGGCCTAGCATTGTATCCACGCCTCGCTCCCAAACTGGGTCAGTCCGCGCGCTCGTCTGTCGGTCAGTCGGTCGGTCGGTCGTCGGTCGTCGTCGTCTCGGTCCGTCCGTCGGTCGGACCGTCGGTCGTCATCGGTCGTCTCGATCGGTCGGTCGGTCGATCTGTCGGTCTGTGTCGGTTGTCGTCGTCGTTTCGGTCGGCCGGTCCGGTCATCGGTCGTCGGTCGGCAGTCGAACGTTGTCGTCGTCGGTCGGCGGTCGTCTCGGTCGTCGGTCGTCGGTCCACAGCCCGCATCCGCCCGCGCCATGGCGCGCTCTGAAAGCGCGCCAATGGAGCCAAAGCGGCTAGGGATGAAATGAAGTTGATAACGAGACGTTGGATCCAAAGTATGTCCGATTTGCTACGCTGATTAAATCGCACTACCAACAGGAGTTCACCGACTGTAGGAATACGAAAGACTGCACGTTTTCACCAGCCGACCTCCTGCTCTTCGACCCGCCTCTTCACTCTTCACCTTGGTTGCTATGTGGATGCTGTGCATCGGTAACTTAAGACGGATCTGGCCGTGGCGCCCCCGGGAGGCCTGACGAGGACGGAGAGCCCTCGGGAGGGCCGCCGCGGTCCCCACCGGACATCCTGCAACGACCCAGCGGCGGGCTGCGGCTTGCGATCGATGCTAGGGGGAAAACAAACCGACCTCGCTTTTGACCACCCTCGCTTCCAAGAGATACCAAACGATGCCAAATTGCAGCCTGTACTGGTCAGGCCGCTTGACGAGGAGGCGCGTGGTATGGCTTGGTTTTGCCTGGAAGCGAAAGCAGGGTAAGTAATTCACGCTCTGAGATGCCGTTGGGGCCTGGGGGTCACCACGCTGCGCCGGGCGCGGGTTGCAACCCACACCCTCTGAAAACCACCCCCTTTGAGGGTCGCCGAACGAGGGCCTGCAGCCAGAAATCCCTGGGGCACCTCGGGTCAGGGACACGTCCTCTGCACGGGGAGAGGCCAGCTCGGGGGCGGAGACACCGACCTGGGATCCGCCCCTATTTCGGCGACACAGTAGGAGCCCTACCACAAGAAACCTTCCACGAGGAGCCCAACCCCGCGACCCCGGGGCGTCCAGTGACTTTCTGGTGTGGGAACGTCACGCTTCCCATTGCAAACCATCGAGGCCCAAGCAACCCAGGGCACCCTGGAGGCAAGCAGGGCGTCTCCTGGGATGGGTTTCCACTGGAGGCCTCCGAGTGCGAAACCGTAGGTCGCTTCATGGGCAACCGGGGGTCGACTCGTTCCCCCGTGAGCCCATCCCCCCCTGACATTGTCCCGTCGCTTCCGGGATATACCTCGGCTCTCCGGCGGCCGCTCCAGGCGGTTCTGGCACCCCCGGAACGCGCTCGGCGAGGCGCAGTCGCGGGAGAGAATCCCGAGGCGGGGCAGCCGCCGAGAACCGCCAAAAACGCCCGAGAGCCTCAACTCCAGGGCAGAACCTCGAGGTTCGAGCCACGAGGTTCGGACCTGAGCCGACCCCCCTCCGATAGAACGCTGCCCCCGTGAGCCCACCCCCCTGCCTCACAAGCGCTGGCTGTCCCTGATCCTGGCAGCAGTCCGCAGTGGCTGGCCTTGCCCGTCCTGTGGGGTGCGCGGCCGGTGACCGCAGCCAGGGCGCCGAGACGCCGAGGGCCCCCCCAGGGGAACGAAGAAGGACATAAACATAAAACGCGGAGGTCCGCGCGGATTTCTCGGATCGGCGCTCGACCCCTCCCTCCCTGGCGCGCGGAGCGCGCCAGTGGCGACGCTGGATGCGCCACCAGGGGGCTTCAGCGCGGATCCGAAAAATCCGCGCGGACCTCCGCGTTTTTATGATTATTTCCTTCTTCGTTCCTCTGGGGGTGCCCTCGGCGTCTCGGCGGCCTGGCTGCGGTCACCGCCGCGCACCCCACAGGACGGGCAAGGCCAGCCATTGCCGACTGCTGGGGCAGCGTTCAGGGTGGGATGGGCTCACGGGGGCAGCGCTCCATTCGGGCCCGGCGAAAGGGGGGGATAGCAAAAGGGGGGTTTGAGAATCAGCTCCTGTGGCTGATTCCCCCGGCGTCGGAGACGGCTATGTATCGAGGAATGGGCCCCTCGGCGGGGCCGAAACCGGCTGCATGCAGCAAATTTCGTAACCCCCCTCTTCCCAATCCCCCCCCCCTTTCGTCCGGCCCGATCCATGGGAGGGGGGTATCGGCTCAGGTCCGAACCTCGTGGTTCCGACGGGCCCCGCGGCGGCGGCGGACGGCACGCGCCGCAGTAAGCGCGGCGCCCGTGCGGCGCCCGCCCCGGCGGCGTCCGCGTGGCGGGCAGCGGCAGCACGGGCGCCGGGGTCGCGCTCGCCTCGGCTGCGGGCGGCGGCGCGCTGGGCGCGGGGGGCGGCCCTCGGAGGCCCTCGGGGTGCTCTCGGGGGCCCTCGGGGGGCTCTCGGGGGCCCTCGGCGGCGACATAGACCCCGGGGGGCCTAGGCTACCCGAGAGCCTATTGAAGGCCCTGGGCTTGCGCATGGTAGGGCCTACTGAAGGTCCTAGTCTTGCCAAGGGTAGGGCCTACTGAAGGCCCTGTAGGGCCTACTGAAGGCCCTAGACTTGCCTAGGGTAGGGCCTACTGGAGGCCTTAAGCTTGCCAAGGGTAGGGCCTACTGAAGGCCCTAGGGGTAGCCCCGAGGGTAGGCCTACTGAAGACCCTAAGGGTAGCCCAACAACATTTGCCTGGCACGCGGGCACCCGTGGCGGGCGGGCCAGGTCGGGCGGGCGGGACATTCAAATATGTTGCTCGCCCTCCGTGTCCTCCTTCCGTTCTCTTCGATCGCACATGGACGGGACCCCGTGGAGACCCACGGCATACGGGATCCCGTGGAGGCCCATGGCATGCGGGCCGGGCCAGGCAAGCGGGACATTCAAGTATGCTACGCGGGCGCCCTTGGCGGGCGGGCCGGGTCGGGCGGGCGGGTTGTGGTGCGTCGTCACATGCCTGGCACGCGAGAACCCGTGACGGGCGGGTAGCGCGTATGTGGCGGCGCGGGTCGGGTCTGGCGTGCGGGACATTAAAAAATGTTGTTGTGGTGCATCCCCCTTTGCCTGGAAAGAGGGCGCCAGTGGCGGGCGGGCCAGATCGGGCGGGCGGAACATTAAGGTATGGTGTGGTGCGTCCTCCCCTGCCTGGCAGGCGAGCTGCCAGGACGGGCGGGGCACAGGTCTAGCGGGCGCGTCGGGTCGGGCAGACGGGACATTAAGGTATGTTATGGTGCATCACCCTTTGCCTGGACCGCGGGCACCCGTGTCGGGCGGGTCGGGTCGGGCGGGCGGGGCATTAAAGAATGCTGCTGCGCATCAGAATTTACCTGGCACACGGGCACACGTGGCAGGCGGGTCGCGTGTCTGCAGGGCGGGTCTGGTCGGGCGGGCGCGACAACATAGTATGCTGTGTCGCATCTGCGCGGGTAGGCCCTATGGGTAGGCCTAGGGTAACCCTAGGGGTAGTCCCGTGGGGTTGGCCTAGGGTAGCCCTAGGGGCAGGCACCAAAGGTTGGCTTAGGGTAGCCCTAGGGGTAGGCACGAAGGGTGGGCTTACGGTAGCCCTAGGGGTAGGCCCTAGGGGTAGGCCCTAGGGGTACGCTTCGGGTAGCCCTAGGGATCTGGGGGCAGGCCTGGGGTAAACCTTCCTTCCAGGGTCTACAAGTCGGCGGCCCTCGGCGGCCCTCGGCGGCCCTCGCCCGCGCTGCTGCTGCTGCTGCTGCTGCTCACTCAGTATCCACCTCTTCCTCTCCTCATCCTGCTGGCTCCCGCTCCTCCTCCTCCTCCTCTCCTCCTCCTAGCATCATCATCATCATCATCATCATCATCATCATCATCATCCATCATCATCATCATCCATCATCATCATCATCATCATCATCATCATCATCATCATCATCATCATCATCATCATCATCATCATCATCATCATCATCCATCATTCATCATCATCATCATCATCAGCATTCATCATCATCATCATCATCATCATCAATCATCATCATCATCACAGCATCATCAGCATCATCATCATCATCATCATCATCATCATCATCATCATCATCATCATCATCATCATCATCATCATCATCATCATCATCATCATCATCATCATCATCATCATCATCATCATCATCATCATCATCATCATCATCATCATCATCATCATCATCATCATCATCATCATCATCATCATCATCATCATCATCATCATCATCATCATCATCATCATCATCATCATCATCATCGTCATCATCATCATCATCATCATCATCATCATCATCATCATCATCATCATCATATTCATCACCATCATCATCATCATCATCATCATCATCAGCATCAGCATCAGCATCAGCATCATCATCACAAGCACAATCATCATCATCAGCAGCACCAGCATCATCATCATCCTCAAGACCATCATCATCATCAGCATCACCATCATCATCATCATCATCATCATCATCATCATCATCGGCATCATCAGCATCATCCTCATCGTCATCGTCATCGTCATCATCATCATCTCAATCAGCATCAGCAGCATCATCCTCAACAGCATCAGCATCGTCATCATCATAATAATCATCAGCAGCATCATGATCCACATCTTCATCATCAGGATCATGCAAAGCATCAGCAGTAGCAGCATCAGCATCATAATCATCATTACAAACATCAGCATCATCAACAACATCAGCATCATCCTCATTAACCTCACCATCAGCATGATCATCATCAGCAGCATCAATATCATTACTATCATCCTGATCCTCATCAGCGTTATTAGCATCAGCAGCAGCAGCATCATCATCGTCAGCAGCATCAGCAGCAGCATCATCAGCGTCATCATCATCCTCATCCTCGTCATACTCATCCTCCTCCTCATCTTCATCCTCTTCCTCCTCCCATTCCTCTCCCTCCGCAACATCCTCGTCGTCGTGCTCTTCCTCCGTCTTCACTCGACTTGTCCTCTTTCGGCTCCTCCTCCGGCGCCCCCTCCCCCTCCGCCTCTCCTCCTTCCTGGTCATCCGCCTCGTCCTCTCCTTGGGGGGGGGCGGGCGATGGGGAGTTGTAGCAGCGTCCGCCTCCTGCTGCAGGGAGGCGGGAGACGAGGTGCTGATAGGTCAAACGCTTGCCGTCGCTCGGACGTCCATTCCCCGTGCATCTGTCAGTGTCGTGCGTGCGTTGTTGTTGCTCGATGATCCAGGATGCTGCGCGCCGAGGAAAAATGCACACGTCCTTCATAATGCGGAGAGGGAGGAGGGAGGGAGGGAGGTCGATGGGGAGTATTGGGAATATGGCTTACTCTCGCGATATGGTCTGCATGTATGTGCCTAGATGTTTATACATGTACTTGCACACACACACACACACACACACACACACACACACACGTGTATATATATATATATATATACACGCATACACCGATGTATGTGTGCATATGTGCAGGTGTGCACGACGCCCTGCCCGCACGGAGTTGTCGTGTCAGAATGCTCATCTGTTGTCTGGTAAGGTGTCGTCAGTGCTTCCCAGAGCCGACCCCCGCCCTGCTCACAAGCTTCCTTTCACCCCCGCCCCGCCTGGATGTTCTCTCTGGTGTTTTCAGCCCACATGGGGCTCCAAGACAGCCAAAAACAGCCCCAAGAGCCAAGCTCGCTCCACGACGGCCACAAAGGCCCCCGAAGACGGCCCCAAGGCTGTAGAAGAAGGCATCGAGACGGTGCAAGAGGGCTTCAAGATGGTCCAAAATAGACTCCATACTGCCCAAGGGGTCCCCCAAAAGACCCAAGAGGCCTCATAAAAGGCGCCCAAGAAGCAATCGCGAAGCAAACCACATTGAGTGTACGTAATCATCCTCTGCGGTAAAAAAGACCAGAATGGCCTGTTCGGGCATACGAAATCTTAAGACGCCCTCCACAGGTCCCCAAAGGAGCTTCAAGACAGCCCTAGAGGGCCCCAAGAAGGGTTCAATTAGGCCCAGGAGGGCCCCAAGACAGCCAAAGATCCCCCAAGATAGCACGAGGGGTTCCAAGTGAAGCCGAACGGGCCCCGAGAGAACCCAAAAGGCCTTCAAAAAAGGCCACGCATGATGCTCAAGACGGAAACATCGAGCCAGCCTTCAAAACTTGTCCGACCACAACTGCGTCGCAAACCCCAAAATGCTCCCGAGAAGCCCCCTGAGGATTCCAAGACTCCCGGGAGAGGCTCTAGGAGGCCCCCAAGAGCGAAGAGGGAAAGGACAGAGGATGTCGAGTTCCCAACACGCCCCAGTTAAGAACTCTCGCTGAGCTGCTGCAGGGCTTGAACTCGACCACCGTTCTACCTCTCATCTCTTCTCTCTCGCTCTCTCGCTCTCTCTCTCTCTTGCTCTCTCTATCTCTGTCTCTTTCTTTATTTCTCTCTCTCTCTCTCTCGCTCGTTCTATCTCTCTCTCTCTTTCTCTCTCGCTCGTTCTCTCTCTCTCTCTCTCTCGTTCTCTCTCTCTCTCTCCCTCTCTCTATGTATATATATAGATCCCTCTCTCTCTCACTCTCTCTCTCTCTCTCGCTCTCCCCCCCGTATATATATATGTATATATATACACACGTATATATGTATATATAAATATATGTGGACACGCACATATGCCCCTCTCTCCGAGAGCCCCCAGCCTGTCGTTGCGCAGGCCGTGCTGTTCTCTCTGCCTGCCTCTGGAGCGTGCCAATAAGAGTTCTAGAGTCGGCTCAAGCCGCCGAGACTCAAATCTGAGGGTTGCCGACGCGGTCTAGAAAAGGAGGCGGAGGCGGAATCCAAACAACAACAACAACAACAACAACCACAACAACCACAACCACAACAACAACAACAACAACAACGACAACAACGACAACAACGACAACAACAACAAGATCAAGAAGAATAACCACAACAACACCAACAGCAACTGCAACAACACCAACAACACCAACAACAACAACAACGACGACGACGACGGCAACAACAACAACCACAACAACAACAATCACAACAACAACAACACCGCCACCAACAACAACACCAACACCAACAACGCCAACAACAACAGCAACGACGACGACGACGATAACAACAATAACAACAACACAACCAACACCAACACCAACAACAACAACGGCAACAACAACGACGACAACAACATCGAAAACAACAACAACAACAACCGCAACAACAACAACCACGACAACAACCACAACAACCAACAACAACAACAACAACAACAACAGCAACAGCAATGGCAACGGCAACAGCAACGACAACAGCAGCACTAACAACAACAAGTGCGAACTCACAGCTTGAGAGGTCGCTGGCTTCCTCGTGCCTCGCGCGGCAGAGCACCCGAAGCGGGCCCCCACCGCGCGAGCAACAGCCCGGCGGAGCCCCCCCCCCGCCGATCGGGCCGTCGCGCCTCGGAGGTGAGGACCGACTCCTCCTCCTCCTCCTCCTCCTCCTCCTCCTCCTCCTCCTCCTCCTCCCCCTCTTCCTCCCCATCCTCCTCCTCCTCCTCCTCCTCCTCCTCCTCCTCCTCCTCCTCCTCCTCCTCCTCGATCAATCGAGCCTCGAGCCAGGGTCCGAACGAGAGTCCCGCGGCGAAGCGCCCATGCGCGAGCAGCTCGCCCGCTCTGCACGCCGCCGGGAGGAGGACGCAGGGGGATGGGCAGCAGGGAGAGAGCAACGGGGCAGGGCGAAGAGGGAGAGGGGGGAGGGAGGAGCAGCTGGGAGGAGGGACGTAGGGGGGGAAGGGCGAAGAGGGAGAGGCGCGGTGCAGAGAGGGGGGCTGCAGGACAACACCAACAACCACGACAACAACCACAACAACAACCACAACAACAACCACAACAACAACAACAACAACCACAACAACAACAACACCGCCACCAACAACAACACCAACAACAACAACGCCAACAACAACAACGACGACGACGACGACGATAACAACAAAAACAACAACACAACCAACACCAACACCAACACCAACAACAACAACAACAACAACAACAACAACGGTAACAGCAACGACGACAACAACATCGACAACAGCAACAACAACCGCAACAACAACAAACACGACAACAACCACAACAACAACAACAGCATCAACGTCAACAACAACAACAACAACAACCACAACAACAACAACCACGACAACAACCACAACAACAACAACAACAACGACAACAACAACAGCAACAACAACAACGACAACAACGACAACAGCAACAGCAATGGCAACGGAAACGGCAACGACAACAGCAGCACTAACAACAACAAGTGCGAAATCACAGCTTGAGAGGTCGCTGGCTTCCTCGTGCCTCGCGCGGCAGAGCACCCGAAGCGGGCCCCCACCGCGCGAGCAACAGCCCGGCGGAGCCCCCCCCCGCCGATCGGGCCGTCGCGCCTCGGAGGTGCGGACCGACTCCTCCTCCTCCTCCTCCTCCTCCTCCTCCTCCTCCTCCTCCTCCTCCTCCCTCCTCTCCTCTCCCCTCCTCCTCCTCCTCCCTCCTCCTCCTCCTCCCCCTCCCTCCCCCTCTTCCTCCCCATCCCCTCCTCCTCCTCCTCCTCCTCCTCCTCCTCCTCCTCCTCCTCCTCCTCCTCCTCCTCCTCGATCAATCGAGCCTCGAGCCAGGGTCCGAGCGAGAGTCCCGCGGCGAAGCGCCCATGCGCGGGCAGCTCGCCCGTTCTGCACGCCGCTGGGAGGAGGACGCAGGGGGATGGGCGGCAGGGAGAGAGCGGCGCGGGCAGCAATGGGGCATGGGAGGACGTAGGGAGGACGTAGGGGGAGCAGGGAGGACGTAGGGCATGAGAGGATGGGCAGCAGGGAGGACGTAGGGGGATGGGCAGCAATGGGGCATGGGGGGAAGGGCGAAGAGGGAGAGGCGCGGTGCAGAGAGGGGGGCTGCAGGACAGCCATGAGCTGCGGAGGGGGGCACGGCGGCGAGGGAGCATGCGCAGGAGGAGCAGGAGGGGCACAGCGGAGTCGATTGGAGGGGGCGTGCGAGGAGGACACAAGACCCTTCCACTGAGCAGGGAACGGCCGTCCCCGCATTCCTGCAGGCCTACCACACGATGCGTTTGAAGAGAAGAACGTCCCAAGAACCAAAAGGCATGTCTCTTACCCCAAGCAACACGAATGTCAAACCGAGACCGCCGCAGCCAGAAATGGTCTAGGATAATGTCGTGCAAACCATCACTCGGCGAGGCAGACCAGGACGCTTCGTCACTGATCGATTTCGAGGGCCAAGCCGCCCCTGGAACGCAGAGCGTACGCGACGCGAGACACGGGACACGAGGGCCCCCCCGATCTGGAGAGATCGGCCTACTTGGGCGAGAGGTTGCGGACGAGGACGAGAAGCAGCCCCTCCCCCCCCCCTCAGAAGCGCCAGCGGCGGCGCGACCCATGCCGACGGCAG